TGACCTAGCAGACGTTTACATAAAAATAACAGAGCAGCTAAAATTAAATGAAGATTTCTTAAAAATAACAGAGCAGCTAAAATTAAATGAAGATTTCTTTTACAAAAAGCAAGCTAGAACATTAGATTAATTGAAGGACAGGTAATCCCTAAAATTTAATGAAGATTTCTCTTACAAAAAGCAAGCTAGAACATTAGATTAATTGAAGGACAAGTAATCCTTAAGTACATAAGGAGTGACGTCATAGGAGTAGTTGATTGTCCATATTTATTCAACTCCAAATAGAATAAACTCAACAAGAGAACGGATGGACAACAAAATTACCGTTTAATTTTACGTGAGATCAAATGAAAGACTTAAAATAAATATTTATAAATATATTACCTCCGTTTTTTTATTATTTGCAGTAAAATAAAAAAATAAAAAATAAAAAAAATAATAAAAAAATAAAAACAAAATTATGTCTCATAAATGATATTCTTTATAATATACTTCGTTTATCCCAGTACAAAATCAATGTCGTGGAATGCACGATACCCTTAGACAATCGGTCAATTAACACACCCAAGGAGGAAGAAATATGCTCCATAAATGGTTACATCTTTACTAGCTTTTGGTGTCTCCATTTGAACTTCTTCATGCATGTCACGTGTTCTATCCACCTTGGCGATTAATTTCCTTTGGGCCTTAGTCGTAGGAGCATACGGTTTTTAGCCCAACTTAAGGGCCCTTGGTTCGCCAACACGAACATCATTACTACGAGTACTGTTGATCCTTCCAATGTTCACCATGTGTTTAGCAAGAGCTTCGGAAATTATGTCAAAGGCCCTAAATTTAACGAAATTGTTGAATTTTTCTTGGAGATGGGATCTTAACACGGATTCTAGTTTGTGGCAATACCATCGAAACTTGGCTCATTCTTTCTTCGGCCATCCCAAATTCAGTTCGATTTCTATGGCAAAAATGTGGGAAGAGACAGATAATAGACTCATCCCATTAATTGCTCGGCAAAGTCTCTAAGCATGATGTTGAAATCGACTTGCAAGATTTGTTTAACAGGTTTATTTATGATAATGTATGTAGCATTGTCATGGACTATGACCTAAATTTCTCTCACTTGATTTGCCACCTTTTCCATTCTCCCAAGCCGTGATTGATCTAGAAGAGGTGCTTTTTCAGCGTCATGTTATGCCAACATTTATGTGGAAATTTATACTACCTCCGTTACATATTATGTGCAACTTTTGAATTTTTTATACCTCACAAATAATACCCAAAAGTTGCACATAATATGTAACGAAGGTAGTAAGATGGCTAGGTATTGGAGAAGAGAATTGAAATACCAAAAAGATTGCCAGATTCTTTACAAATTCATTAACAAGATCCTAGCTACGAAGAGAGAAGAAAGGAAACTCGATAAGCAAAAAGAAAAAAAGTGATGAGGTAATATTCATTAACTTATTGACAATTTATATGAATGACCTAGAAAATTCCACAGCCCCAATAAATAGTAGTAATGTTGATAAGTTTTTAAAGGACGTGTTTCTGAATTTCTTCCTAGCATGAGGAGATACAACTAGTGTTGCTTTTTTTTTGGTTATTTTATCTTCTTACCAAGAACCCCATTGTAACTGCTAAGATTAGGGAGGAATTAAATGCTATGATGGTAGAAAGAGACGATGGTAATAATAATAATGACGGGTTTTTAAGGAAGTTTACTAAGCACAAAAAAGATCTAGTATATCTTCTTGGTGCAATATGTAGGAAATAAAGGTTATGTAATAGGGGTGAGCATGGGTCGGGTACCCATACCGTTAACACTGATCAGTTCGGGTAACCGATAACCAATAACACTAAATATGATATCCATTAACCGAACCGATAAGTTCGGGTACCCGGATTTTCGGATCGGTTATTAGGTACCTAATATGCTATCCAATAATGAAAATTTAGACTTTATAATTTAGTTATTAAGAATGATATCATTCAACACTAATTAACAATAATACCACATGATTATTATTTCGGGGTTTTTTGTGTCCTTCGGGATAGTTACGTCACCAAGACTGATTTCCCGCCGGCTGTACCTGCAAAACAACGGAAGCTCCGTGTGTCCGGGATTCTGCCTCCGGTGATCAAGTTAGAAAGTGTTCGGAGTGATATAAAAAGTGTGGAAAGTAAAAGTAGATCTTCTCGGATTCTGAGATCAGGTGATTTATCCGTTTTCGAGATAATTGATTGTGTGTAATAAATGAATGTGTCCCCTAAATGGGGTGAATCTCCCTATTTATAGGATAATTGGTAAACGTGCCCTTACATATATCATTCTGACCTAGATTTGGTGGGCTGCGCCGCTTTGCGGCTTTCTCGGGCCCTGGAAGTTGTCGTTCCCTAATGAATATTCGTATGCCGCGTGTCAAGTCCAAGAGAGTCCATTTGGACCCCTTACAGAGTGGCACATGTCACACTCTCATTGGACCACATGGCGGGGGTACAAATCCCTAAATCATTTTCCCCCCACAGGGGGTGACGTGGCAGGCCATGTGACACCTGTGACATGTGTCACACATGCAAGGGTGAACAACATTTTTACTGTGTACCGTCTGGAATAAATGTTAGGGTTGCCCCTGAAACTTTTACCCCTCCATAAATATGTTTTCACCCCCCTCATTTACGCATATTCACGAAATTTTTTCGAGAGAGAATCTTGGACTTTTGAGAGAATTTTCTTATTGCCGATTGAGTTTGATCTGCCTACATCACAGTCGACCCAAGAAGTTCCAACAGTACCTTCAATACAAGGTAACTGCCTGTTCCATCTCTGTCTTGTTCTTTAATTTTCCGTCTGTGTTTGTTATTCCTTGTTTTTAAAATGGTTTCACAAACACATATGGCACAACCTAGGATAACTGTCATCCAGTCACCAGGGACGGCTGAATCTAGGACTAGGAGTGCCGGCTGCTCCCACTTAGACTCCCCTCTGCAAATACCCCCGAATTTGACTGTTTGTGTCTGTGCAGGACACTATGGTGAGAACTAAAAGGATGGCCCAGGGCCCCATAGATGGTGAGGAAGACGATGACACTATTAGGGTGCCAAGAAGTGAAGTTTTTGATCACCCACCCGACACTCCAAGCACGCCGGATGACTCAATTCTAAAGGAGTCAGATGATGGGTCTGATAATAGTGCATCCGGCTCTGAACAAGGGTCATCCCAGTCGGATGCTGTTTCAGGCGGTTCTAACAGTAGAACCAAGCCGCTTGTAGCCCATGAAGAGCTAGAAAACTCTGAGTCTGCCTCTGACTCTAAGGAGGAGGTCGTCTCTCCTTAAAAAGGACAAGGGGAGGATTCTTCCTCTACTCGAGAAGAATTCACTCCCTATTTCACCCATATCTCTGCTGGGACTCATAGGAATATGTTAAAAAAGCTAGAGGAATTCTGGGACACTTATGTCATGGGGGCCGGATAAAAATGAAATTCATGTCCCTGACCTGGACGATACAGTCGTTTGGCCATTCAATCAGAGTTATGAGGATAAATGCTTCGGCTGTTACGAAGCAGCGATACAGGCGAGCCTGAGATTTCCCCTTGACAAGGACGTTGAGAAAATCCTAGACTGATACCGCCTGGGTGTTTGGCAGCTTGCCCCCAATTCGTGGGTGAACGTTCTTGGGTACGTCACCGCCTGTAAGATGTTGGGGGTGAAACCGTGATTCGAGGCCTTTGCTTAGTTGCATTACTTGAGCAAGGCTCCTAAGGCAACCGGCCCTGGGTGGTATACCCTAACTTGTCACAAAGGGTTCATGATGACCCTGGGCAAGGAATCAAAATGGAAGGACTGGCGGAACCGATTTTATATCATCTCCTCGTCAGATACCAGGCGAAACTAGAAGTATAATACTTGGAACAAGAAATCGTACATTCTAGGACAGAAGGCTATCCTCCCGCCTGTTCTTGATGAAGGCTAAGATCAAATTTTGACACCTGGCCTGTTTAAGGTCTCCACCAAAATCTTAGAGGGAGGGAATGAATGGGAGATAATTCCCCATAGTTACATCCCTAGGTTTGAGTGGCTAAGGGACCCTCTTTACTTAGCCGCTTGCGGCCTTAGCACAGAAAAAACTAAAGGTAGCTGGTTCGGATGGGATCGTCTAGAAATATATATATATATATTATTATTATTATTATTATTATTATTATTTCTTACTGACACTCATCCGTCCTTTTTTGCATAAGAAGCCATGACGCAGCTTTCCCCAAGTAAGAAACCTGCTAGCTCTACTGCCGCCTATTGCCAAATGATCAAGCAGAAAAACCAGATCTTCAAGAAAGATCAGCTGGACCATATAAGTCTTCCAACACTGTCACATTCAGGCGGACCTTATTGTCTTGAACTTGACGACGCCGCCCCCAAAATCGAGGAAATCTGTGGCGTAGAAAAATCCATCTGCTGCCAAGTCTGGAGATGATTCTTATCCTACTACTGCCGACAAGTCGCCTGCTTCTCTTGAAGCACTTAAAAAACCGGACGCCCCTCAGACGTCGAAGAGTGGCAAGCCATTCACTATTGTTGTTGGCTCAACAACAACAGGCGGACATGCCTCAGACGGACGCAAAGACAGGCGTCCTCAAGACTTGGAGGTTGAGCTCCCAGGTATTAGTGCCTTCAATCCATTAACTTACCCTAATAGGGTAAAGTCTTATCAGTAGTCGCCCAGCATCTCTGAAGACACCCGGTCTATAGGTCGGGCTTATGTCAACTTCTCACTTAGTGTTGAATGTAGATGCTTCCTAGAGGCCGGATATACAACAGTTCGCTAAGAACATGCTGAAGGCCATCTTTTCCAAGGAGAAGGATTCCGTGAGGGGGGTTGGCACCTTCAACTTTGATGCTATTTTGGCCCTGCTAGCTAAGATAACCTGCTTTTAAGTTAGAAAATAATTCTAACTCCTCTCGTGTCGTCTGTTTATTGATGATCTTCTTTGCCGGATGTAGGCCATGCTACGGGTGAATGGGCTCAAGAAGTCGTTCTCAGACAAACAAAAAGAGGTAAAGAGTGCCAAAGAAAGGGCTGCCTCTACTCTAGACCAAGCCATGTTTAACATGTAAAAATGAAGCACTGACCCATGATATCCTGCATTCTCAGGCGGAGGCCAACCTACAGGTCAAGCAGCAACTAAAGGCGGCCCAGAAGAGGGTATCTGAGCTTAAGGGCAAACAGAAGTCAGGCAAGGGCGAGCTTGAGAAGCTTGGGGATGTCAGCAGGGATACATACAATCTCCACCGCCAGAACGAGAGTCTGAAAAAGAAACTCGCCAACCAGGAAGAGCAGGTGAGGGAGAAGTACCAGGCTAGAGTCGAGGAGGAAAAGAGGCAGTTGATCGAGGAGAATGAGAATGACTGCGCCATCCGGATGAAAATGGCTTGGAAGGCTTTGCATCCTGACGATAAATACTCCGACTGGGAGTATCATTTTAAGCAGCCCACTGACGAGCTTGACGAGGAGTGGCTGCAGGCGGAGAAAAAGGGTGAGGCTGATGGTGATGAAGACATGGCTGAGAATGAGGACTTCGAGCATGATGGGGGCCATCCGACTGATGCTGGTGAAAAGCCGGATGGAAATGTAGAAGAGTCCTCCCCTCAAGATGATCAATTTTAAGTCTTTCTTTGGTCGAATGGCCTGATGATTAATTTTTTGGCCTGCGTGCCAAGTATATATGTATCTTTACCGACTAAGGAGTCGGGTTTGATTACCAATTTTTCTTTTCTTCACCGATTGTAAATCGATTAACAGTACTTTATTTTGACTAACCTGGGGGTCGGTTTTTAATATGAAACAGCCGGCCATTAGGTCAGTTTTCCTGCATAAAATTTTTTTGTCCTTACAATTTTATTATGCATAAATTTTGCTAAGTGCGTAGCCTTTTTATCTTATACATGTGATATATCAGATGTTCTTGCCCCTGGGCGGCTGTGCGCTTGGTTTTAAAGGTGAATTGATTGACTTAGAAATTTTTGATACTTGAAAGAGTATGATTAATTTCCAAGTCAATCAATCACTATGGTGAATGCCCCAAACCAAGAGGACAATCGTCCATTGAGCAGAAGGGTAAACGTTTAGTAGCAGACGACCATTAACCATATTAAGTCATTTTGAACGAGTAATGCTTAGCTGCTAAGTTTTGGACTTAGCTTATTTGGACGTCTGTCTTTCCCTTAAGCAATATCAGGCGTCTTAATGGTAAGCACCAAGATGAGTTCTTTTATCTAAATGAAATAATAACCGGCTACCGGTTGGTATAGAAAGGGCGGTAAACCTTTAGCTATCTAGGTCTCATATTAGATTATTCAAGTCAAACAACTACGAGCTTTTCTTTATCCAGACAGTCGGTTGGGCCGTTTGTTTATTTGAGTTTATAGAGCAATGTACCACCCAAATAGGAGATGCTCTCTGCGACAAATTCACCCGAATGGACATCGCCGAATGTTGTACTCTTGTAGGAGCATACGGTTGGTTTAGATTTCGACGCCTGCACATTGCACAGGCGGTGTTCCCATTGGGAGATATATCTAATACAACAAAAATAATCAAATTTGAATATAAAAGGCAACTTTTCATTAATAGGCTTTTAATTTACAAAAAATTTACAAGTCTCAGAAGTAGTACTTTTTTAAGTTGTCTACATTCAAAGTTCTGGCTAGCTTCCTACCGTTTGGAGTTTCCAGGCGGTAGGTGCTGCCTCTAGCTTCTTCATAGATCCGGTAAGGACCTTCCCAATTGGGCACCAACTTGCCTTGCTCATTGGCCTACCAGTTGCCTCCATTTTTTGTAACATAAAGTCCCCAACTTTCAAGGGTCGTTGGTGTACTCTTTTGTTATAGGCTCTTGTCATTCTCAGACAGTAAATCTCGTGACGCAAGATGGCATTGCCCTTGCGTTCTGGAAGTGAGTTTAATGCTAACCGCATGGCCTCCCAGTTTGCCTTTTCATCATACATCATGACTCGAAGAGTCGGCTTATAATGTTCGATTGGTAAGACGGCTTCAGCACCGTATATCATGAGGAATGGGGTTTCGCCGGTTGCCCCTTTTTGTTGTTGTTCTGATGGCCCATAGGACATGAGTTAACTCTTCTGCCCATAGACCGCCAACCCTTTCAATTTTCTTTTTTATGTCGTCTGAGATTAGCTTGTTGAAGGTTTCAACCTGACCGTTTGCTTAGGGACGACCAACTGATGCAAAACAATGAGAGATCCCTTGGTCTCCCAGCCAATTCTTGGGGGTAGACGTCTCAAATTAAGGGCCATTGTCAAAGACCATAGACATAGGTACCCCAAACCGGGTGATGATGTTCTTCCAGATGAAAGAGATGACATCCTTTGTCTTGATGCCTTTGACCGCCTCCGCCTCTACCCACTTGGTGAAGTAGTCAACAACAACTAGAATATACCGCCGCCCACCTGGCGCAGGAGTATACGGTCCCAAAATGTCCATGCCCATTTGGCGAATGGTACTGGGCTATGAATGGCCGTCAGATCGGTGGCCGGACGGTAGATGAGCTTGCTAAATCTTTGACACTTATCACACTTCTTCACCATTTCCATGGCTTGCCTCAAGAGTGGGATCTTCTTCAACACTTCGTTTTTCCATCAGTTCCCAGAAGACTGATCGAGGTGTATCATAGGAGGCGGACGATGCCAGTTTTGACAAAGCATCCGCCTCATTGTTCTCTGACCTGGGCACTTGACTTAAATGGAATTCATCAAGTTTCCCAGCTTCTGTCCTCACTACCTACAAGTATTTGATCATAGCTGGATGGGTGGCCTCATAGTCACCATGGTATTGGCTAACAACCAATTGATAATCAGAGCAGGCGTCAATTTTTCTTGCTCCTACCGCCCTACACATGCGTATACCGGCTAGCAGGGCCTCATATACAGCCTCATTGTTTGAAGCCTGAAACTTGAACCACAGTGCATATTCATATTTATCCCCTTCAATAGACTAACATATTATCCCTGTACCACAACCGTTCATGGTAGAGCTCCCGTCTACATACACCTTCCAAACCTGATCAAGATATTCCAGTTTAACCGGCCTTGTTAAATTCAACAATGAAGTCGGCGAACACCTGACCCTTCACTACCTTCCTTGGTTTTAACGTGATTTCAAGACTTTGCATTTCAATAGCCCATTTGAGCATTCGGCCGGATGGCTCTAAAGTTGTCATTGGACGCTTAAGGGGTTGGTCTGTATAGACTACCAGCGGATGTGCCAAGAAGTAAGGTTTCAACTTCTTGACTACCATAAACAAGGCGAGACCAAATTTTTTCAATTATAGAGTACCAGAGCTCTACATTTCGAAGCATATGTCTAATGAAATAGATCGGAAGCTGATTGTCGTCTCTCTCAGCAAGGAGAACAACACTGAGGGAATGATCTGAGATGGCTAAGTACATGTAAAGCGTCTTCTTAGGCAGAGGGTTGACAAGCCTTGGCAAGAAGTGCAAATGTTGTTTCAATTTTTGGAAGGCCGCCTCAGCATCATCCCCCTATTCAAACATAGTCTTCTTTATGATCGCTTGAAAAAAGTAGTGGCACTTGTCGCCTGACCGGCTGAGGAATCTCCCCCATGCTACAAGACAAACGGTTAATTTTTGAACTTCCTTTACAGTGCGAGGTGACTTCATGTCAATAACCGCCTGTATCTTTTCTGGGTTGGCCTCTATCCCCCTTTGATCAATAAAAAAATCCGAGAAACTTCCCAGACTCAACACCAAAGACACACTTCTTGGAATTGAGCATGACCTTGTGCCGCCTGAGTGTGGTGAAGGTTTCTTGGAGGTCAGCAAGGTGATCCGTCTGTAGCTTGGATTTGACTATCATGTCATCAATATACGCCTCTACATTTCTTCCGATTTAATTAATGAAGACCGTATTAATCATTCGTTGGAAAGTAGTAGGCGCATTTTTCAAGCCAAATGGCATCACAGAATAACCCCTGATTAGTGACGAATGCCGTCTTTTCTTGATCTTTTTTCCACATGGGAATCTGATGAAAGCTATAATAAGCGTCCTTAAAACTCATCAAAGCATGTCTGGCTATAGAGTCGATCAGACTGTCGATCTTTGGAAGCGGATAACTATCCTTCGGACATGCCTTGTTCAGATCTGTGTAATTCAACACACATGCGCCACGTACCATTCGGCTTCTTCACAAGAACAACATTCGTAACCCAATCTAGGAAGTGACATTGCCGAATGAACCCGGTGTCTAACAACTTCTTGACCTCGGCGGCAGGCGCCTGAGATCTCTCCTCACCGTGATTTCTTTTCTTTTGCCTAACAGGCTTCTTTTTTGGATCCACGTCGAGTTTGTGGATAGCGAGATCTGGGCTGATGTTTGGCATCTCTTTCATTTCAAAGGCAAAAAATGTCCTTGAATTCTTTCAACAGATGGTGTAAGTCTGCACCCGGTTTTGCAAAAGAAGTCGTCCCAACCTTTATAGTACGCTCCGGACGTGTGTCATCCAGAACGATATCCATATGTTCTCTAGCCGGTTGGGGCAGAGGTTATCTGACCGTTCCCCGGTCAGTGATTGCTATTGCTTTTCTTTTTTGACAGTGACCAGCTAGTCAACCTTTCTTTTCTTGCCGACTGCCGGTGGGACTGGCCACTACAAGAAAACAACCGAATTCCGACGGACATGTTATTCAGTCGGAAATTCATTAAATTCCGACGGATTTTATGACGGATTTCCTACGAAATAAAAATCCGTCGGAATTTATGGGATTTTCGACGGATATTCCGTCGGAACATTACATTTTCCGGCGGAATAAATTCCATTGGAGATTTCCGACGGAATATTCCGTCGGAAAATAAAGTTTCCAATGGAATATTCCGTCGGAAAATAATTAAATAATAAAAAAAAACTAACCCATAAAACCCTAAACATAACCCGGATCCCCCTTTCATTCTCATTTCTCTCTTGTCTCCGCCACTCTTCCTCTTCTCTCTCCTCTCTTCTCCTTCTCTCTCCTTTCTTCTCCTTCTTCTTTTCATTCCTTTCTCTTTCCTTCTCCATCTCCTCTCTTCTCGTTCTTTTCATTCCTTTCTCTTTCCTTTTCCTTCTACTCTTTCTCCTTCTTAACATCAACAATCGCATTGACAACATCAACAATCGCAACAACAACATCAACATCAACAATCGCAACAACAAGCACAGCCGCAACAACCACCGCCGCTCAACACCTCCTTCAACCACCAGTCGTTGCGTCGTCCGCCGTCAAGCGCCGTAGAAGGTTGGAAATATAGAATAAATATGGGTTAGTTTGTAGATCTAGGTTTATATATCACAAATTTATGCTTATAATTAATTTTTATGATGAAATTGTAATATAAGTTTTTAAATTTTGTAATGTAAGTTTGTAATTTTTCGGATTTTTGGAAATTGTAATACATAAATTGTTTATTTTAATTTTGTGGTTTTGTTTTGATTTTGTGGTTTCGATTTCGTTTTTTTTTATTTTTGAAGTATCGGTTTTTGTTTGCATTTTTCGATTTTGTGATTTTTTTTTGGATTTTTTTTTGGTTTTTGGAGATCGATACAGTGGTTTGGGGTGGTCGGGGTGGTCTGGGGTGGTCGGGGGTGGGGGTGG